CCAGGCGGTCAAACACATACTGGGGACAGAGGGAGAACGACACGGTCAAACACATACTGGGGACAGAGGGGGAATGATACGGTCAAACACATACTGGGGACAGAGGGGGAACGACACGGTCAAACACATACTGGGGACAGAGGGGGAACGATACGGTCAAACACATACTGGGGACAGAAGAGTACGGTCAAACACGTACTGGGGACAGAGGAACAACGACACGGTCAAACACATACTGGGGACAGAGGAATACGGTCAAACACATACTGGGGACAGAGGGATACGGTCAAACACATACTGGGGACAGAGGGATACGGTCAAACACATACTGGGGACAGAGGGATACGGTCAAACACATACTGGGGACAGAGGGGAACGATACGGTCAAGAATTCATGAGAGAAAAAAACAACGACGTTATTTTACCTCTTTAGCTTTATACTAGACAATTTGGGGGTAATTTAAGATACAGCGAAAACAGAGAGGAGAGTGGAAAAACAGAGAGGGCAGTGGAAAAACAGACAGGACAGTTTTTGAGTTGTGGTTGTAGATAAATAAACAAATAAATAAAAACAATTAAAAAATAATGAATTAATGAATGAATAAATAAACAAATAAATTTTTAAAAATACAAGGTTAATCTCTGTCAAGGTCATGAACGTATAATCAATGACTTCAATGTGCCGACAGCGGGGAGTGAGAGATATGATCTTGCTCCCACAAGGTAGGTGTGGTGAGTGAATGAGTGACAGCTTGTGACAAACTACAGTAGGGCTCCCAACCTGCTGTGTGGGGGACATTAATGGGGGGTTTTGTTCTTTCTTTTATAAAGAAATTAAAGTATGGATCTTTTCATGACTCATGCGTCTGCTTAATATACCATAACACGAGGAATACACACACACACGCACGCGCATCACAAACACAAATACACACACACACAAATCACAAACACAAATACACACACACACACACAAATCACAAACACAAATACACACACACACACAAATCAAAAACATAAATACACACATATACACACACACACACAAATTAAAGCGCATAGAGCTTGCTTTCGAGTGGGGACTTGCGCTATACAAATGTTATTTACTTTTTTACTTTTACAAATCACAAACACAAATACACACACACACAAATACACACACACACAAATACACACACACACACACAAATACACACACACACACACAAATACACACACACACACACAAATACACACACACAAATACACACACACACAAATACACACACACAAATACACACACACACAAATACACACACACAAATACACACACACAAATCAGAAACACAAATACACACATATACACACACACACACAAACACACAAACTCACATACACAAACCACAAACACACACACACACAGACAGGACACACACACACATTTTAACCCAGGAGGACTTAATTCACTGATCCATGTTAAATGTTACAGCTGAACACCCCCAGAGACATACCCACAAAATAGACGATTTAGGAGGCGGGCGGCTTTGTGTTGGAAAGTTGTAAAGCACATAGAGCTTGCTGTCGAGCGTGGATGTGCTATATAAATGCAATAATTATATTATACATCGTTATCCATATGTTTAACACCGACGGTTATGGATGTACGATACACCTATCCACACAATGTAAATGATTTTTAGGCAGTTTATCTCTAGTGTTTTACACAGAGGGTGAATTTTATTTATGAACACCTCTATCGACGCAATGTGTAGGTGATTATTTTTTTT